TGTGTTTGTAGTTTTCTGTGTGGCATTTCCTTGGTATAGAGGTGTGGATGAAGGAAACAATACAGACATAGCAAACATAAAATAAACACGCATGGAAGAAGTGGGGAAATACTTAATGCAGGCTCAGCATGTGGTACTGGAAGGGCAAGTATAATGGTCTACCAGAGCTTAAAAGGTGAGCAAAAATGGTCTTGCGTGGTCCAAGAGGGACATAAGAATATGATAAAGTGAAAAGTGGGAGGAAGGTGTTTCCCACTGCTTCAAGCTTAATTGTTCCCTGGGATAAGTGATGGAAGGTTTATGTTTGGGAGCTTTGAAGCTTTATTAAGCAATACATAGAAGTAAACATCAGAAGGAATGATTGTGAGCTGGAAAAAATAGTAAAAATATTAGGTGACGTTTGATTGATTACTTGAATTCACAGGCCAGAATTTAAACAGCTGTAAACAGATAATAGCCAGACTAATGATAGTAAAAAGGTTGTGATGTAATGCACTGAAAAGGTGGTTCTTTCTTCACACCAATTCTCCTACTCTGTCATTTTAGTGTATTTTATTACTTGAAATACTAATTTCAAAGCCATTTTGCCTCAAATATTTCAAATTCAAGGAAATATTAATATCCAGTGAAGTAAATGAGAGTTAGAAACTCCATTCAAATACACTGTCTGGCTTTGGGTAAGTCACTTAATCTCTCCATTGATTTCTTAATCTAAAATGAAAGGATAGGTAGGAGCGCATTGACAAATTAATAGTACAAAAAGGTTCTTTGTTACAAGTCACTTTCTGTACCAGTGAGAACATTATCAATTAAACAGTTACACTACCATAAAAATCTCATACTGATGCTACACAATCCCTTTTTCTGAGTATGAGATGTGCTCAGAGAGATATTCCTGGGCACCTGACCTCTGACTAAGAATTAGACCAATATGCTGGAATAATGTTAGGGGGCATGGTTGAGTGGGAGCTGCAGTTTTTCAGAAAGCACAGGAAAGAAAAGGCATGGCCACAAAGAGCTTTAGAATGATGCTGTGGTCTTTTAAAATAGCAATTGACTCCCCATTGTAAAAGATCCCACAATGTATTCTTCATAGAACATGGTTCTTACTTAGGTAAAGATAGACTCAGAAAGAACTTGCAAAGTTTGTACCAGAAAGAGAAAGTTTCTCCAGCTTATTCAGCATATTAATGCTCTTGGCAAATATTGTCCTTTATATATATATATTGAGTAAGTAGTGCCAGGAAGAATCATAGAATCATAGAACAATTAGGGTTGGAAAGGACCTTAAGATCATCTAGTTCCAACCCCCTGACGTGGGCAGGGACGCCTCACACTAAACCATGTCACCCAAGGCCTCGTCCAACCTGGCCTTGAACATTGCCAGGGATGGAGCGTTCACAACCTCCCCGGGTAACCTATTCCAGTGCCTCACCACCCTAACAGGAAAGAATTTCCTTCTTATAGCCAATCTAAATTTCCCCTGTTTAAGTTTCAACCCGTTACCCATTGTCCTATCACTACAGTCTCTAATGAAGAGTCCCTCTCCAGCATCCCTATAGGCCCCCTTCAGATACTGGAAGGCTGCTATGAGGTCTCCACGCAGCCCTCTCTTCTCCAGGCTGAACAGCGCCAACTTCCTCAGCCTGTCTTCATACGGGAGGTGCTCCAATCCCCTGATCATCCTCGTGGCCCTCCTCTGGACTTGTTCCAAGAGTTCCATGTCCTTTTTATGTTGAGGACACCAGAACTGCACACAATACTCCAGGTGAGGTCTCACAAGAGCAGAGTAGAGGGGCAGGATCACTTCCTTGGACCTGCTGGTCACGCTCCTTTTGATGCAGCCCAGGATACGGTTGGCTTTCTGGGCTGCCAGCGCACACTGCAGCCAGCTCATGTTCATTTTCTCATCAACCAACACCCCCAAGTCCTTCTCCGCAGGGCTGCTCTGAATCTCTTCTCTGCCCAACCTGTAGCTGTACCTGGGATTGCTCCGACCCAGGTGTATGACCTTGCACTTGGCATGGTTAAACTTCATGAGGTTGGCATCAGCCCACCTCACAAGTGTGTCAAGGTCCCTCTGGATGGCATTCCTTCCCTCCAGCGTATCAACTGAACCACACAGCTTCGTGTCATCGGCAAACTTGCTGAGGGCGCACTCAATCCCACTGTCCATGTCAGTGACAAAGATGTTAAACAAGACCAGTCCTAACACTGATCCCTGAGGGACACCACTCGTTACTGGTCTCCAGCTGGACATTGAGCCATTGACCACAACTCTGTGTGCAGCCATCCAGCCAGTTCTTTATCCACCGAGTGGTCCATCCATCAAATTGATGTCTCTCCACTTGAGAGACAAGGAGGTCGTGTGGGACAGTGTCAAACGCTTTACACAAGTCCAGGTAGATGACATCAACTGCTCTACCTCTGTCCATCAGTTCTGTAGCCCCATCATAGAAGGCCACCAAATTGGTCAGGCAGGATTTGCCCTTAGTGAAGCCATGCTGGCTGTCACCAAGCACCTTGCTGTTTTTCATGTGCCTTAGCATGCCTTCCAGGAGAATCTGCTCCAGGATTTTGCCAGGTACAGAGGAGAGACTGACTGGTCTGTGATCCCCTAGGTCACCCATTTTCCCCTTCTTGAAAATGGGGGTCATATTTCCCTTTTTCCAGTCATGGGGAACTTCACCGGACTGCCACGATTTCTCAAATATGATGGCCAGTGGCTTCGCAACTTCATTCGCCAGCTCCTTCAGGACCCGTGGATGGATCTCATCAGGTCCCATGGACTTGTGCACGTTCAGATTTTTAAGATGGCCTCGAACCAGTTCCTCTCCTACAGTGGGCGCAAGGTCTTCACTCTCACAGTCCCTGCGTCTGCCTTCCAAGACTTGGGTGGTGCAGTCAGAGCCTTTGCCAGTGAAGACCGAGGCAAAGAAGTCATTCAGAACCTCAGCCTTCTCCAAATCCTGTGTAGCCAGCTCTCCTGGGAGCTTCCTTAGGGGGCCTACATTCTCCCTGGTCTGTCTTTTATTTGCTATGTACCTGTAGAATCCCTTCCTGTTATCTTTAATACCTCTAGCTAAGTTTAATTCTAACTGGGCCTCAGCTTTCCTAACCTGGTCCCTAGCTTCCCAGACAACATCCCTGTACTCTTCCCATGCCACCTGTCCTTGCTTCCACTTATTATAAGCCTCTTTCTTCATTTGAATTTTCCTCAGGAGCTCCTTATCCATCCAAGGAGATCTCCTGGCCCTCCTGCTGCACTTCCTTCTGGTTGGCATGCAACACTCCTGAGCTTGTAGCAGGTGACCCTTGAATATCAACCAAGAGGCTTGGTCCCCCCTGCCCTCTAGGGCTGTATCCCATGGAACCTTACTAAGCATGTTCCTGAAGAGGCCAAAGTCTGCTCTTTTGAAGGGGTTGCCACATCACTGATGAAATTAATTTGTTTGGACTGATACCCAAGGAGTTAAGAGAAAGATAAAAATATCTGACAGCTGTAGGTTAAGTTCTAACAAACAGATGAAAAACCCAGCTGGAGTGAGGTAGGGCTGGATTAAAAATGAAAGGATTTGAAATAAGAGAACCTAAGAATGGGTAAGGTTGTTTGGCTTAAAGATTGTAATTTGGAAAGTAAGTGCTGTGCAGTCCGGAGAAAGCAGAGCTGAAATGTGGATTGGAAACTGAGAAGAGAATGGTGGGAGGAATTTGCACAAGCCACAATCAAGCTTGCCTCAAATCAGGACAGATCATCAATATTTTGCACACCTGGAGGTTGAAGGCACTTGCTGTTTTGGTAACGTAGTTCAAAATGCAACATTGCTCCTTTCCCAGTGAGCAAACACAGGCACAACTAGTACTCATCCTAGATCATCTTGATCCACTCAGTTACTTCATGATGTGTAGGCAAAGGATCAAAGAGTCAGAAGATGGAAAGCTAATGTATCAGAAGGGGAGAATAGAAAAAAAGGGGGAAGCACTGTAACCAGGAGTTGTTATGACTGAGGAAGTGTGCTAACAGTTCACACATACTAAAGCAATCCTCAAAGAGGATGGCATCTCATCTCATAAAAAAGAGGAAGAACCTGTGTCTGAGGAGTTGTTTCTTAGGTCGAAACTGGTGTGTGTCTGTTTTCCCCATTTTTTTATGAAAGAAACACACATATCCTCATCAGGTTTCAACAGCTCCTCTGAAAGACCAACTGAGAACCCGCATGCAAGGTATCATTAATGTCATAGCAAGCAAGGATATATTAATATGATTGCTATTTAATGAGCACAGGACTGGTTCGTTTTGTTGAAGACTTTTCTTTGGGCTACCAGTAGACCACAAAGCTCTTTCAGGAGTGTGTTTGTGTGACTACATCCAGGTCTTTATAGTCCCCTACCACCATAACATGAGAATGACCACTAATGACACTTTCTCAAATTGCAAATCCTTGTCTTCTGCTTTTAAATATCAAGACAAAATTTGGTATGTGTCTGCACTTCTTACCTGTATATTGTCAGGAGCTACTGTATCTCAGCACATATGAAAATTAGATGGCTCCATACAAATAGACAATATAAGCCTAGTCCTTGGCAACAGTACTTGAAATTTTTGGTCTAGACACCTTGCAATCTTGCATACTTTGAGGTACAGTAGCACTACTGCCCTTGAGTTGCAGAACAACGGTGATTCTTCATTGGCACTGTCATGGTGCTTCTGCAGATAAACCGTTCTAGTGGGAAACTTTTCTGTGTAGGTATCTATCTGCCTGATAGATAATAATAATCATAAGACTGTCCCTATTCTTATGATTTTAACAAGAGTTTATGATTTATCCAAGAGTTTTTTCATTTCATTTTCTTTTGCCATTTGGCTTGCAGAGCATATGTATTTAACAGCTCCTGTGTCAGGAACTTTCCACTGCCTTGCTAAATGTCCAACATTTCTTCCTAATACCATCATCTGTTATATCTTTCTTCTTTCTCCACTCTCTCTCACATCTTTCCAGGTCAGAGGCTACCCTGAGCCTCAGATCACGTGGTACAGAAATGGGCATCCTGTCACAGAGGGAGACCGTTACGTTGTGGACCACAGCATTCGAGGGATATTCAGCTTGATAATTAAAGGAGTACAGGAAAGTGATGGTGGTAAATACACCTGTGAGGCTGCAAATGATGGTGGCGTTCGTCAAGTAACTGTGGAACTGACAGTGGAAGGTAAGAGGATACTTACACTGTAGTTGGGATGATTACAGAGTTTAATTAATGAACAAGCAGTGTTAAACTGTCTGGTTAAAATCACAACTGTACACGCAGGCTTTCTCACTAGTACAAGAGTAAGATTCATTAGTTGAATTTCACAGTTTAAGGAACTGTGCAGGCAACTGCATGTCCCCTACATATATGTAAGCGGCGAGGAGAAGCAGACAGGCCAACCCAATATGGGTGATAAGCAACTTCTGGTTTATTTGTGACGCAGTTCACACATATATAGGAGTGGTAGTATTCAGCCACTCCTTCTTGGCATAACATATATAGGTCCGGTCTCTGTCCACCTGTGGGGGCCACCCCCTGCCTTGCTTGCACAGTCCTCCAGAACTCTATGGATCTGCTCTTAAAGTCATTCTGCAACACATATATACATGTAGTATAGATACTACATATCTATAGCTAGATAAGGTGTGTGTTAGGTTTCAGATGTGTATAGTGATGGCCAGGTAACAAAAGGGATCATTTTAAAGACTGCTACAAACCTGGTAATTTTCATGAAAACCACCACTAAGGACAGAAACAAAAGCCTGGAAAGTTAGGATTTTCTCTCAGGCATTAAAAGCTGTGGTGATCTTGGTTGTTTCACAGCCTATCAGATAAGCACACTGAAGCAATAGGTTTTTGGAGTTCTCTGTGCATACTCGTATTTGCTAAGCTGAAAGCCTGGTTGTAATTGCATGCTTAATGTCACACAGGAAACAGCCAAGATCAAACCCAGGAATTTTTAAGAGAACATCTGCATATTAGATAATTGCAAACTGCCAAATCTGAAATTTACAGAGTGACACAAAGGCAGAGACGGATGGAAATAAGTTGTACATCTTCTCCCTATGCAATTTGATCGTGTCAGAGGTCTGCTGAGTATCAAAGTTCCTCAAGTCACAACGTTGTGTTGAATTTTTGAAGCAAAGTAAAAATCCACAGTGGTCCTGAAACAATCAGCATTTGGATTTGTACGGAGTCAAAATCTCTAACAGATACCATCGAAGTACATACTGAAATATGCAATAGATCTGGTATGATTGTTACTGTCTCCTGTTGTAAAAATTATGCAAAATCCTTTTTCCCCCTCATTTTCAGTTGTGGTAGCTTTCATGAGTGACAACTAGAATGGAGGTGGCAGATTTTTTAAAGCTGTTTTTATACCAGTTTTTCTAACCCAGGCTTTGCTGCAGTTTCTAAGCAATTTCATGGCAGTAACCAATGACCAAATTTCTTAGAGTTTAAGAATTACATTGCCTTTATTCTGAAAATCCCTTTATGTCTCAAGATAGTAAAGCACGGATTTTTTTCTGTTCTCAGCAAAGCTAGCTATGTGGGGCTGACTGCTACTGGAAAAAATGAGTGACGGAAACACAATCTGATCTTTCCATCCTTCATGGCTGTCCTAGCTGACAGTAATGCAGATTTTTATAAGGCTCTCAAACAGGGCTTTTTCTTTTCACAGCCATCAGAGCTGGTTGTTTCATGCTGCTACTCTAAATCTCTCCCAGGTCACAACCCGTTTTTAACGTGCCAAAGCTATTATGAATTCTGTGTTCAGTAGATGGCGCTGAGCCTACACGACTTCGTAAGCATCAACTTGTTGCTCGCATTAGCAAGCATGATGAACTGCTACGCTTCAAAAAGAATCATTTTACAGAAAAGGTAGTCTGGGCTAGTACAGCACTCAAAAACAAATAAAGTAAGAGCTCTTTCAAAGTCCAAAAGCCTTTTTTTAAATTTTTTTATTTTTTTTTATTTTTGCCATCTTAATCTTAGTACTGCTCTGTACAAACCAGACACTGTTTCACTTGTTTAAAAATGCTTTTGCATGACTAATCTGCAGTGTTGTTACTGCTGAGGCCAAGGGTTAGATGGTAAATCTGCTAAAACTTGTTTTTGAAGTTGGAGAGCCTAATTTTGGATTACAGATGACATAACCTGATACTGCAGGTGTTGCATTCCTCCTTTATGTTTAAAACCTGGAGAAAAAGCATATTTTACATAGTTTTTTGTATCTGTAATTCCCAGTGGTCTTGAGAAGATTTCTGACTTCCTTGTCTTTTTGTCCTATGTTTACAGGAAATCCCATGAAGAAATACAGCCTGCCATCCTGTGCTAAAACCCCAGGGTAAGAAGTCCGCTGTTTTTTGATCTTGTTTAACAGGCACCTAAATATTTTTTGGTAGGAAAACAAGTAAAATGACTCTTTATAGAGAATAACCACTTTTCCGCATTTTAAGTGCCTCTTGCATTTGTCTTTAGCTCTCAGTGAATTTGAAGGCCTGTCAAAAAGGGTTGAATTCTTGTCCAGTTCTCAGTAATTCCTCACTGGAAATGTATCCCCAAGGCTCCCTACCTATGCAAAAATCTGAGGCAATGGAGGAAAGCAAAGCCTGGTGGTTGATGACTCAGTTCTGCACAGCATTGCATTGAAATAGAGTAACTGCTTGGCGTGATTTCTCACATGTGTGAAATGGGGATAGCAAGAATGGCTGGCCTCTCAGAGGCAGGGCAGTTCCAGCTACAGCACCATCTGAAAACAAATATTTTGATATTTGTGAACTCAAATGCTTTCCAACTTCGCTTTTATCCCAAGGAGAATATCTGCTATGAGAGCTACTGCAGTAAAATGGAGCAGTTTGGTACAGCTATTGCTCCTTCATACTGACAGGAATTAATCTGGCTGAAAACAGAACATTCTGCTGGTATCTTCAGTGTTACACCCTCCCCTGCTGCAACATTGCAACTACTTTTTTCTGCTTCCTGATATTCAGAAATCCTTCTGCACATCTTCCATGACCTGACGGTCTCCTTACAAAGCCAGAGCAAATACTGTTTCAAAAGTCATCAGTAAAAAATAAAAGCAACTGAAATTAGCATTCTCTCACATATAGCTGAAGTATTTCTGGCAATACAGTGGGTAAACTGCAGTCTGGAAGAAAGAATTGTTCCAGTTTGGAGTAACTGTTAGCAAGAATGAGTTGATGGGGAGCTCTGCGCTGGCACACAGAAGAACCTTCTTGCTGCCATGTACATTCTGCACTTCAGTAAGCATTTGCAATTAAGTAAATGGCACTGTTTTAGAAGCCCCAGGCCTAATTCTTCCAACAGCTGAATTCATTTCTTTATAAGTATCTTGAATTTAAGCAAAATTATTTCTGATTTATATCCCTGGAACAGAGTTACGCTGGATGCAGACAAAAATACATGTTTCTGATTATGTCAGTGATAGCATGCAGGTAGTTACAACTCAAGATTTTGTCATTGATATGGATATTGTTTATGTATGGTTTGAATTTTAAAATTAATTGAGATTAAAGCAGTGAAAATAGTAAGTGAAATGGATTCATCAGGAAGGCTTTTACATGATAGTCTGTATTGCAAATGTGCTACAGAAATACACACATGCTAAATAATCAAAGCAAGAAAGGACAGTTGAGGTTGCTGTTAGGTTTTGTTACACTGTCAAACTTTTTGAAGCACTATCCTAATCAATCCCATTGCATGAATTTAGAGGGATTGTCCTCATTTTTCATTCTTACGCAGCTTACTTCTATTCAGTATTAATAATATTATGGCATGGAAGTTTATGTCTTACCTAAACAGGGAGGAGGAAAAAGAAAAATAAAAAATACACATTTAATTTTTTGTATTTTTAGGAAATAGCCATAAAGCTGCAGGCTAGCTAGTAGTTGATGTTCTTTTAATGTGTTAGTATATGCGTATAGATATATAAACATAGAAACACCACCTAAAGGTGGTCACTAAAAGACTTCTTTAATACACATTTATGCTCTTCTTAATGTTAACATGAGGAAGATGACATTAAAAACTATCAGGTATTTAATTATATTACGAAGTATTTTCCATTTTAGTGTATTACAGTCATCCTTCCCTTTGAAGACTTTCTGCTGGTCCTCTTGTCCATGTAAATGCTTTCATTATCGTATCATCTCTTACTTAGAAACCTCGAGCTGCCTCTATGGCAACCATCGTTTCTTGGCAGCACCTTGGACTATGGCGAGGCGGTCTGTTAGTACCTGACACCTGGTAGAAATGGTGAGGTACTGGCATATCTTACTTGCATGTGGTAAAAGGCCATCTGGAAAAGAAAGTCTTGAAAATGGTTCAGTTTGCTTGAAATTAAAAGTAAAAAAAAAGAAGAAAGAAAGAAATCACCATCTGCCATCTGCTAATGTGTGTGTTGTTGTAGTCGGGCTTCAGAGCAAAGAGCGTTTTCTTTGACATTACATACCTGAAGTTGCACCTCTTTCTTTTTCTTGTTATAATGCTGCTTGATGTTATATGTTTTATGGCTTTTTAACTGAGAGGTTTGGACTGCAGTCACCGATGTCACTCTGGTTTCATTCCCCATATCGTTTCTCAGCTGTGCCATCCATGTAAGTAGAGCTGGGCATTTACACTTAACAGACATTCACCTGGGATGGGTGTACTTTGGTCTTGTGCTTTTTTCATATTTGCTTTGTAAAAAGTGCAGTGAATGAGATTCCTAAGAGAAGCCTCCTCCAAAATAAAAATCTTTACCAGAACATGTCAGAAATGTTGCAAAAACAAGTTGCTGATTCATAAATCAGAAATTACGGTGTCATTGCACTCTAGGTCAAAAGAAATTACATGACAAAGAACAGTCAACAGTGAACAAATATGCACAAATAATCTAGGAGGATGTAACTAAGAAACAGGAAAAAACAGAAATACAGTGCTTCAGTGTTTACTATCATTTGGTTTGCCCAGCTCTGCTTATAAGCAGCTGAAAGTATCCCCAAGATTGTTATGTGAGTCATGTGTATGCTGGATGAGGGTGTGAAGCATCATACTATTTGGTTGCATGAGGAATCAAGATCAGTCATCACCAGCATTTCCATTTCATCCAGTGGCCAAAAAACATACTGTATAACTACAATCTTGATTACCACCAATTATATACCCTTATTGGCAGACTGACTGGTCTGAAATGCTTCTTGAAGTGTGCTCTAACCACAACAGCTTCCAGTTCTTCTGTAAAACCAGGATGTCAATTGCCTTTCTAGGGCAAGACTTACTGTTTCATCTGTGGAGCATAGGCCAAGCATCTGGGGAGAGAGTCCACCCAAGTTTGCTACAAAACCCAATAGAGTTGTTGTGCGTGAAGGCCAAACTGGCAAATTCTCATGTAAAATAACAGGACGACCTCAGCCTCAAGTAACTTGGTTTAAGGTATGATTTCCCCCCAAAATAATGTTTTCTTTCTCATTTGAAATGTTGTGACTTGAAAGGATGAAATGCACTTGCCACTGCAACTTACGGTGAGAATTTATACGCAAGGAGAGCCATATTCTCCCTAATTTTTATGCTGAATAAACACATAAAAGTAACAGTGTTCCTTTTCAGTATAAACTTCTCCCTTGTCTGTATCACCGCTGAACATATTTGTACAAAAAAAAAAAAAATCATCTGAAAGCATCAAACAAAATCCAGGTTCCATTATAAGAAATAGCAGGTATGGGACATACCTGCCCAAAGATTTTACTAACCAGATAAGAGGAATAGGCAAAGGATGGGAAATGTGAATATTATCATCCTCTCTGTTTTATGGAGGTCTGTGGGAATTTAATACTTTGACTGTGGTTACAGAGGGGTATCTGACAGCTGTGAAAGTTACAGCTGTATTTCACAAGATCCATGTCAGTGTCCCATCATAAACTGCTTTTTCTGTATTATTCAGATTGTGTTTTACCTCTACATTAGAATGAAGATGATGTTTGCAAAGAAGTTAAATTTAAATAAAAGAGAATCATTAAAAATTAACAGATTTTGGCATGCATGTTTTTTTATTTTTTTTTTCAAAGTAAAAAAAGCAAACAACAAAACAACAAAAAAGCAAATGAACAGTTCAACTATTTTAGTCTGACTTCTGCTAAAACAGTGAGAGTAGAAAAGCATTTGGCATAAAATAAAGGAGACTTGAGCTGTCAGCTTCAGATCTTCAGATCTGCATTAAAATTGGGAATTGTGAACATCTCTCATTTACAAAAAGGCTTTATAATAAGCAATATTTATTATTAATTAGGCTATTGAAAAAGCCTTAGTAGAACCTTTGGGCATACACAAGAACTCCAACCACTTTTTTGTTGTTGTTGTTAGTAAGGAATTTTCAGGTGATAATTAAATATTACACTTATTAGGCCATCTTTACTGAAACTGTTAGTGCTTTAGAGAATTACAGTTGCTTCCTTTAATTTGGAAGAGTAAGCATATGATTGCTCTGTTGGCATCATTCTCCCTTTCAGCATTCAACAGACAATAGACTTATGTACAGTTAAAAAAATAAAGCTTCTCAGAGCTTCTGTTTTCTCTTGGTGCCTCCAGTTTTTATGAGGGCAGGGGGGGAAGAAATAATAATAACAATAATAACAATAAACAAACAAACAAATACCCCCCCCCCCAACCTACACCCCCAAAACCAAACCAAAAAAAAAACCTTAAATCTGCTCCTAGAGCAGGGAAATGCTTCCAAGTCATCGTCTGGTTTATTTTAGACTTAGCCTTGTTGTCTGTAATACAAAGATGCCAGGGTACATCTCAGAAAACAAGCAGCTTCTTGCTGTGTAAGCACTTACTAGATATCTCCTGCAGTTGGCGGCTCCACCTAGAGTCTGCTTCTCCCTTCATCAATCTGTAGTGCAGCTGCTCCCCAAGGGCGGACTTCTGGTCCCACTAGACAGGCTGAGGTTTTCCAGCCATGCAACTCAGTGCAAAAAAAGTTTTATCGATCAGTTCTCTTTGAGCAGGGCTGTGCCGTAGACAGCAAGTAGAGGCTAGCAACCTATCAGCTTGGATCTACACTTTGATAATACACCTACATTTGATAATTCTTCATACATGTTTTTGCAGTTTGTTAAAGGTTATGTTATATATTTTGCTATCGATTGTCAGCTTCTATATGATGTCAGTCTATAATCTGTCAATCACTGTCTGATCAAATGAGTGAAGTATGCAAAGTTCTTGTTATTAGGAGCTCCTTGAGTTCTCTTCATGTTTATGTCCTTAAAGACCATATTTCAACACTTTCAGGTCTGCATTTATTATTCTGTAAAATACCACAGGTGGGTTGTTCAGAGGTTCAGTAGTTGATTGCTGGCCTGCAGACACCCAGTCTGCGCTCTTCAACCTATCCTCAATCTATCACTTTTGGTTAAATTGGTCTTCTCTAGCCTTTTACAATATTATTTTAGCACGTATTTTGAGGACCATGAAGCTGTCTTTCCATAATTCACATGCTCTGTAAAGTGAAATACTGTTGCTCTTTATGCTCTTTATCAGAGTTTTATTGGCAGGCTGTTGTGAAGCATGTGTTTGCATGGTCATAAGGCAGTGATTAACAGGTAATCAGGCATGTGCTTTGGCTAGCTGCAAACAAGGTGAGGCCTCCAGTTCTTCTGGCCATGTCAGGCTGGCACTGCAGGGTGCTGAGTATTTCAGCTCTGCCCCAGCATTGTGGAAATGAACTTACATGGCTGCTGGACCGCGTCTGGCTAGTGCCAACACATGACCACCTTCCATACAGCATGGAAGCTTTATAAACAATTAAGTTTGCGCTTTTCAGAACTAATCAATAAGCTTTTGTGTAAATGTCTTACTCTGATTCTTGTTTACTTTCCCCTTTAAGTTGCAAAGAACAGAAAAAGAAAAAACAAAACACAAACCATGATATGAACTAGCTTTTTAAATTCAAATAGGACTCCTAGCACCCTAATAGCAATAAGCAGATAGACTTCAGGAGTTACAGTCTCTGAAAACACTGCCATGTTTCCCAAATGTTTACTGACCATATCTCAACAAATCATAGATTTGTATGCTTTCCCTTCCTAAATTTAGGATAAGAAAAGCTGTCGTGTCTGAGAGCAAGAAACTCCTCCTTAGTGGCTGGTGCTGAAGCAGAATCACTGATTTGCTCACAAATGAGCAAATAGTCAATTATTTTGTAGAATTTAAAGGCAAAAATTGTTGTAACAATTGTATGTAACAGAGAGCATAGAACTATCATAGAATCATAGAATAGTTAGGGTTGGAAAGGACCTTAAGATCATCTAGTTCCAACCCCCCAGCCATGGGCAGGGACATCTCACACTAAACCATACCAACCAAGGCTTTATCCAGCCTGGCCTTCAACACCGCAAGGGATGGAGCATTCACAGCCTCCTTGGGCAACCCATTCTAGTGCCTCACCATCCTTACAGTAAAGAATTTCCTCCTTATATCCAATCTAAACTTCCCCTGTTCAAGTTTTAACTCATTACTCCCTGTCCTATCACTACAGTCCCTAATGAAGAGTCCCTCTCCAGCATCCCTATAGGCCCCCTTCAGATACTGGAAGGCTGCTATGAGGTCTCCACGCAGCCTTCTCTTCTCCAGGCTGAACAGCCGCATCTTCCTCAGCCTGTCTTCATACAGGAGGTGCTCCAGTCCCCTGATCATCCTTGTGGCCTCCTCTGGACTTGTTCCAACAGTTCCATGTCCTTTTTATGTTGAGGACACCAGAACTGCACACAATACTCCAGGTGAGGTCTCACGAGAGCAGAGTAGAGGGGCAGGATCACCTCCTTGGACCTGCTGGTCACGCTCATTTTGATGCAGCCCAGGTTACGGTTGGCTTTCTGGGCTGTGAGCGCACACTATAAGCATTTCTTCTTGCCTCAAACCCATACCTTTTCGTTTAACCCCTGTGTGGCAATGCAAAAGAACATCGATGCCTCTCTATGCCTAGTGCCTTCTGCCACCCTCACCTGGCCACTGAAGAGGGCCTTTATGCAGAATTCTGGTGCAGAATTCTTTTGAGTTCCTGAAGTGTTACAGCATAAAAGAGCTACAGAGGGATAGAGAACTATTCCCCAGCTTGGGAGTTTTTGCTAAAAGTGTGGTTTGATTTCCTGGACCAAACATGAAAAACTGGTTTGAGCCCATATATGGTGAAAATAATTTTTTCTAGGAATATGGATATAGTAGATAGTGAAAAAGCCAAAATGAAACTGAAATCATTGGGTGGCAAAATGCACTAAAAAACAACCTTCTACAGACGAATTACAGAAATTTTGGACACAGTTTTTTGTTTGCACCGTCTGAGTATTATTCATAGAAGGGATTTGGCTGAAAGGTAGAAGAAAGGTATTTTGACCTGATGTTTTACCAAAAAAATTCTTGCTCCCTTTCTCTTACAATAGCTAGCTGTCTCATGGTGTCTTGTGATATTTGCAGGGTGATCTTCAGTTGCAGCAAAATGAGCGTTTCAACATGTTTGAAAAAACAGGCATCCAGTTCCTGGAAATTCAAAATGCTCAGCTTACTGATTCAGGAATTTACACGTGCACAGTGGTAAACAGCGCTGGGAAGGCATCTGTGTCTGCAGAGCTCACTGTTCAAGGTACAGCAAAGAGTTTACAGGAAAGAAAACAAGTAAACCACAGACATTCCTTTAAAATATCTTTGGCTGTGTTCTCAGTGTAAGCTTTCACTTTTTCCTGTTATCTCTGTCTCCATTAAATGATACTGTGACAGCTTGGAGTGTGCTACTGCTGAAAACATTGTGTTGGTTCAGTGGGGAATATGCTATCCAAAAGCTTTGAAACAACTCTCTTTAAAATCAGCTTTTCACTTTTACTGTGATTTTGACCTTAATATGTTTTTAACATAGATTTTCATTTCAGTGCATGGAAACCTTGCACTTGTCATTATAATTAGTAATTTATTTTGTGTTTGCTGAGTACCAACACCAGATGCACATTTGTACCAGCTCCCTTTTGGGCAACAGAATTGTATCTGTATTTGTAGAACCAGTAAAGCAAAGGAACATAATTCTAAACTGTAAGAGAGGAAAAACAGTTAAATAAGATTAAAATTCAGGCTCCCCAACTCCCAACTTATTTCACTGCTCTTAAAGGAAATAAATTGCATAAATAATTTAGGATGTTCTATTCCATATACACATTACCATATACAGTTCATTTTGCAGTTTGGTGCTTCTTAGGGTGCCCTTTGCATCAGCCTCAAAACCACACAGCCTTCAGCAACCACCCTGAAAAAGAATTTCATCACTCAGTGGGTAAGCAGTCACTGGACCCAATTAAATGATTAAACCAACAGCTGCTGGCTTCAGCTGCAGTCATAAGATTAGGGGTTTACATGGGCACCCAGCAGGGAATTTTTTGATGCAAGATTTCTAGGTTCACATCAATGTTGTCACTCTGTAAGATAACAAGAATCTAAATAAAAAGAGAATTTATATTTGGGACCTTCAGAGCCACAACTAGCCTTTACCACTTAAAGCTGTACTTCTTATTTGTAAATTCCAATCTGATGAAACCATTTTAGAAGGAGCTTCTACAGGTTGCCTGTTCAACTCATGTTTTATAGAAAGGGCCATTTTGTTCAATAAGCCTTTTTTTTTTTACATGAAATTTGATCCTTACTTGCTCTCTCTGAAATGGTGAGCTTTCTGTTGTTCAATGGGTACATCTGCCTGGAGACATGGTGCACAACTGGGGTCACAAAGTCAGTTGTGGTATATGTTTGCTTCAGATGCTGACCACATCTCTGAATAATGCAGGCATTCTTTCTTAGATTAGTACAGGTCAGTAAAAAGGGCACTCTCTTGCAATGTACTTGACTAATCGGATGATTCCACTTACCTAGCCGCAATGTATAATACCTAATTCTTTCATTATCTATTAATGAGGTCATAGGAGTTGCTGCAAGATGCTAGCAGACAATCAAGTGGCTCAGAATTACTCCCTTTTATTTAAAATCCATGAAATCTCATATATAGGTACTTGTGTTCCAAAAGCTACATTTTTTCCCCAAGTTCCCATAGTGGAAAGTGGAAAGGGAAGAGGAAACTATTCTTTTAATTGACAAGGTAGCATGGTATTGTCTTGTCTGCAAGCAGTAGTTGTTCAGTTTCCTCTTTTTGTGTTTATTCAGTCTCTTCTCAGCTTTATTTTTTACATAAAGAATTTCTGTTACTCTTTATTGACAACTTTATTGAAGTGAGGTCAGTGAGTCATTTCCCTCTCTCATGGCAACTTTTGTGTGTGTATAAATAGATTCTTTTGGTCACTCTGGATGGCGTGGCAAGTCCCAGCATTTAGATGTGGATTTTTGCTTGCAAAACACAGTGGAAATCAGGGTATCATCCATCACATGTTTTTGTCTTTTCCTGAAGGCAAAGTCTATGAAAGTGTTTTTATGGAGTATTTCTTGATGACTTGCAAGATTCCTTATCTTGCAAATTCATTATTACATGTCTTTCTACTGCAGTTTCTAGTTTCAACAACATTTTAGATGCAACTTTGATCTGACCAGGAGGAGACAAGATGCGTTCTGTAGTGTTAACTAGGGAAAAATGGAGAGATGCAGTTGATACTTGATCTGGAGTGGTATTTTTCTCCTCTCAACTATTTATTTCATGATGTCCCCAAGAGAAACAAATACTGTCAAGCTTTGGGAGAATGCATGGAGAATTACAGACATATGAACTAAATGACTGACTGTGGGCAAATATACGCCAAGTTATATTGATGCAGCTGATGATGTACTTTGGCAAATCAGTATAGCTGGGCCATCTTCCCAGATTTCCTAGTGGTGTTTCAAAGTGAAGAAATATGATACATTAGCTTTTGTGTTATTCATGTTAAAGATGACAGTATTTTGTATGCAGCAAATGAATTGGTAAGAGTTTACAGGTGAGCTCTGGTTTGGGGAAGTTTTACTGCTGTTAATTTGATTTTGTGTTTTAGTCAGAGGACAGCTGCTGTTTCACTGTGGGCATGCTCAGGTGTAGTACTAATGGTTTGTTTTTCTCCACTTCTACAAGCTCAGTGGCATTCTCATAAGATTTGATGAGTTGCCTTCAAGTTGGAATCTCTTCCTTACTTCTCTTCCCCAACAAGGAGCCTCTGAGGCTCGCAGAACCTTTAGTTCTCAAAGGACTTGTGAACTCAAGTCTCAAAATGGACCAAGACCTCTTTGGTCTTCAGCTGAGCAGCTTGCTGTTGTCCATACCAAATTTCAGATGTGGTAGTCAATTGCAAATTCAGTGTATTGAGGATATGAAGAGTGAACGTTCTTAAGTGTATTCTTTGCTTAAAATTTTTCAGATTCAGGAATTCTCTACAGTATTGTATATATAAGTTACCTGGTTTTGTTTCATTTTTTATTTCAGGTCCAGATAAGACTGACACATATGCTCAGCCACCGTGGTATGTTTTAACAGGAATACTTTCTCAGAATATTTAATTGCAGTGCACTAATTTTGACATTTACTGCATGAGCCTTCCTCGCAGTGATAAATATTTTGGGGTCAGTCTGTATTTGGAAGTTATAAAATGTTTACTTGGAATGAGACTCTTTCTTACTGCCAAATCCAGCTGTCCTGATAGACTCCTACAAAATTAGCTGGTAGAACTGGTGACAACATAGAATTCTGGTCTGCTTCAGGAAAGCAAAATTTAGATGGCTTATGTTCACTGTTCCCACGTAGCCAAACAGTTAGACAATCTGAATGAAAACTATGTGAGGAAAAATCATATTCTGCACAAATTGGTCAAAGTTCATTTTTGGAGTAAAAAAATGGCAAGCACTTTGTCAGTAGTGAGCTGATTGTTCTTGCTATCTTAAGCAACACGTAGTGTGGCCATGGTCTTTGTTAGTGTCTGAATATACAAACAAAATTTATTAAAAAATGATGTATTTTGTAAAATGTAAAAATCTTACAGTTGTAGCTTCAAATCCCACAGGCATTATTTCTCTAGTGCATTTAACTGGGGCTGAAGAAATGCCCTGAATCTCCTGAGAGAATAAGTTAATGGGACTAAATATTGCAAAACAGAGCTGGGCTAGAAATTATTTCCCATTTTTCAAATACATTCCAGTTCTGCCTTGCAGTAATGCTTTGGAAATGTGAGACAGACACAGTGCTCTACAGATAATAGCTTAATGGTCAGGGTAGTCAACTTCAGTGAGGGAAACTTAGATTAAAATCCACAATTAATCAGTTATTCCTGTCCCCCTAAAGTACAGAGCAGCAGATCCATCATAATTCCAAGAAACTCTTCCTAATAAAACCATAGCTGATGTTATGTCCAGTGAATTGAATTTTTCTTTTTTTTTTTTTTGACAACACACCCTCTTCCTCCTCTGCTTTTCAGTCAAGTTTCCTGATCAGCCCTCTTCTGAAATCACCTAAATTACAAGACACCATAATTAAAAAGAGTAAATTCACTGCTGTCATGGTTTAGCTGCTGTACTTGTCACTGGGGTTGGTGTAGCTGCTGTACTTGAAGTTGGAGTAGCTGCATTGTCAGTTGCTTTGCCATCAGATCCAGAGACATCTTTTTCCCTTTGAAGGTGCTGGACGATGTTGAACAGGTCTCTGCAAGCACAGGCCAAGCCCCAGCACATTGCCATGATTTGTCCCTCTCTGGTATGACCAGGATGACAACACACCTCATTGAAGTGTTTTACTAATTTTTCTGGATTTTGCACTCGTTCAGTGGTGAAGTTCTAAAGCACTAGAGAGGCCCACTGGCCTAGATACTTGCCCACACTATCCCACACACCCTGCCACTCATGACTGTCCAGCCTCGGGGAAAATCTCTAGGTCCCCATGTATCATCCTCTAACCCTTGACAAGACCCAAAGCCGACTCTTTTGAGATTAGACAAAATGATCATGAGTAAAACACACTCTGTACGTGTGCCAGCATGGTGATCCCCTCACAATCAGCAGGCAGGTCTCAAGGGTATTCAAAGGCCATTCAAAACCTTCAGAACTCTCTGTAAATAGTCTGGTGGGGGGGCTGGGAAGGTAAGTGAATGTCTTTGTCATAGGTTGACCACCCAAGGAGGGAAAAAAAGATGTGTAATTGTTAAACATTTCTATTATATACCTCCCAAAGTACAGCGGTGATGACCACGCTGAGAACACAAGTCAGGCCAGTTTCATGATCAATGAGTCTATTGTATTACAAGTAATTACCATAAAGTACAGCAAAACAAGAACCTTAGCTCAGGCCCTCCAGCCAATAAACACTAAAACATCAAATACCAGCTATAAGTAAGGGACAACATGCTGAAACTCTGAGATCAAGAGCAACAACTTTGAAAGCCAATAAATCAGCGTTGTGACGAGTGACTATTAATCTGAAATAATGAATGCTTGTGACAAATATGATTAGACACACTCCAGTCAGATCTGTTGTTATCTCAACCCTTTGTGCCCCACGCTGGGCACCACGAAGAACTGTCATGGTTTAAGTCCAGATGGTAACTCAGAACCACGCAGCTGCTCGCTCACTCCCCCCACCTTCTTCCCCCTGCTCCCAGAGGGATGGGGAGGAGAATCGAAAGAATGTAACTCCCACAGGTTGAGATAAGAACAGTCCAGTAACTAAGGTATAACACAGATCACTGCTGCTACCACCAATAATAATAATGATAAGGGAAATAACAAGGGAAGAGAATACAACCGCTCACCACTTGTCGACCAATACCCAGACTGACCCAAGCAGTGATCTAGCCCTTCCGTGTAGCTCACCCCAGTTTATATAGTGGGCATGACGTGCTGTGGTATGGAATACCTCTTTGGTCAGTTTGGGTCAGGTGTCCTGTCTCTGCTTCCTCCCGGCTTCCCCTCCTCCCTGGCAGAGCATGAGGCTCACAAAGTCCTTGGTCAGAGTAAACATTACTGAGCAACAACTAAAACCATTGGTGTTACCATGGCTGTTCCCAGGCTGAAAGTCAAAACCACAGCACTTCACCGGCTACTAAGAAGGAGAAAAATGGCTGCTACTGCTGAACCCAAGACAACAGCACAATTTACATTTTAATTTCCCTGTAGGGAACTTTTTTTTGTGGCATTTTGAGCTATAATTATACATGGCCTCAATTTATTAAAGCATGAAGTAGTGTTGCATCATAGTTATTCCAGGATCTCAGTTTGTTACTACCTATGTAAAGCAGTGTATGCAGGGTTAGCGTCTGACTCACAAAACATGTTCAAACCTGAGCAGTGGATTTATATCCAGAAACTCCTCAGCTGAGACAGTATCTAAGTGCTGATCACATTTTAGAGCTTTTCACTTCACCTCTTTCACCCATGTTCTTAATCTCTGCAAAGGAAACTAAAGGCTAATTAATTCACCTTCTTGCTAAGAGCTTGTGCATTTATGTCATTGCTGATATTTTAATTAGTCTTTATACAGTGTTATATCTGTAAACTTATCATATTATTGCTGATAATAATAATTAGTCTTTATACAGTGTCATAGCCATATACTTATTATTTTCCTCCAGCATGCCATCAAAACCAACAACACTTGCTGTTAAAGCTGTTGAAAATTCAGAATTCAAACAGGCAACTAGCAATGGGATTGCTAAAGAGCTGAAATCCAGCAGCACTGAACTCATGATTGAAACCAAAGACAGGGTGGCAGCAAAGAAAGAGACCTTTTACATTGCTAGAGAAGCCAAAGACAGTAGGCAGGGACAGCACCAAGAAGCCAATGCAGTATCTACTCAAGAACCTAAAGAAGGAAGAAATGGATCTCAGGTCTTGCAGAAAACTTCAAGCACCATCACACTACAGGCTGTCAAACTGCAACCAGAACCAAAGGCAGAACCCCAGGCCACTTTCATCAGACAGGGTGAAGACAGGAAAAGGGCTATGCAGCCGCTGATGTCAGCTCAACAAACTCCGTCTCTGACAGGGCAAGTCAGTTCAAGGAGTAGAGAAGCAGAAAACAGATCTGGAGCATGGAAAGCTGTAATGGAGGAGAAGAGGGAGCCTCTGGGAATACCCCCTCAGTTTGTGAGCTGTCCACAAAGCCTGGAAGCATCAGAAGGCCAGGAGATTAAATTCAAGAGCAGAGGTAAAGGGGTGAAAGTTATCAGAGCTGTGGGGTTAATCAGGTTCCTATTCTCTTTGTGGAGGTGGGGAAGCAATTCCTCGTTAATTGCAAATTGTCCTCTTAAAGCATTTTGGAAATAAAATCAGAGCCTTGTGCTAATTCCACAATACTCTTCTCAATGAAATTTTCAAATTGTTCCATGCCATAGTGTCCATCCCTTCTTTTGTCTGGCATTTCCCCACATGTAATCAATGCCAGTCTTTCTAGGAGGTAGTTTTAGGGCAACATCACCTAAAGTAGGTTTATGTCAAGGTGGTTTTTGATATCTCAAGGGAGGGAGACTCCACAGCCTCTCTGGGCAGCCTGTGCCACTGCTTAATAACCTTCACAGTAAGAAAGTGTTTATGTTTAGACAGAATCTCCTGTCTTCAGTTTGTATTCAGTGCCTATAGTCCTATTAGTAGACACCACTGAAAAGAGCCTGGCTTCATCTTCTTTACACCCTGCTTTCAGATATTTATATACACTGATGAGATCCCCCTTCAGCTTTCTCTTCTCCAGGCTGAATAGTCACAATAAACAGCCTCAGTGGCAGGTACGATGGATTGTGAAGTTCTGCTAGGTGGTGGGAGAAACTGGTTTAGCAGGGTAGGAAGGAATGGGGAGAAATTTCTTTCTGCTGTAATATTTCATCACATCTATTTGTCTGTGACTTTCAGAGGAACTACTTTCAGATAGAAGTGCTTCGGTTTTTTCAAGTTATCAATTACTTGTTATTTTAGAAGAAGATGGACCGGCCTAGAGGTTTTGGAAAATTAGAAATATCAAACCATTTTTTTAAAGAAAGTTCTCTGTATCATTTGCTCATTAAGGTTATATAATTCTGTATGTGTAAATCATGCCTAATTTATACTAAAGCAAACAATGGAATTACACTAAGGGGAATACCTGTTCCTAAAAATTCAAATACCTGATTGTCTAGTTTCAGGGAAACCAAAACCAGACGTGGAGTGGTTCAAAGAGGGTGAAACTATTAAAGCTGGACAAAATGTCCAAATATATGAAGAAGATGGAATTCATTGCCTATGGCTAAAGAAAGCCTGTTTGGGGGACAGTGGATCATACGGTTGTACAGCTTTCAGCCCCACAGGCCAGACTTCCACCAGCTGGTTGTTAACTGTCAGAAGTAAGTAAACTCTCTGTAACCCCATCTGCACTTTGAAAACTGTGGCTGGGCTTTTCTAAGCTGTCAGGTGGTGATGACTACATCATTTCTATTACGACTTCTCAATGCAGGTTAATTCTGATTCTCAGCTCTGTGAATAATGTGGTATGTAATAGCTGGCAAGACATTTTCTGCATCCATTTCCCTTCTGACCTTTTGGTTTTGTTGATTTTATAGATAAAACCATCTCATGGAATGCTTTGTACACAGGGAGGCTTGTTCTCCACTGAGGTTTTCTATTAATGCTTGTATTTAATACAGGTTGCCAAAGTTTTGTTTGTTAGTTTTCTGCATTTAGTTCTTTTGGAGTTGCTTAGCATTTCTATAGGACACTGTGTATCTGAAGTGTTTTGTGAGCACAAACCAATCCTTGCAGTAAAGAGGGAGAGAAGAAAAGTGAAGGAATGAGAATTGCATTCTGCTAAATTTAACACACCTCCCAGAGACAAATTATTTTGAGCTTGAAGACACTGTCTTATTGGTCTGGCTAAAGGATTTGTTTGCCTCTTAGCAAATCTTATCTTCAATTCTAATCTTTACACCTGGCTTTACATTTTGTCCTGGAGCTATGATCATGGTTTTGCAGTGTTTTTCTATATGCTGTGCCTGAGGTTAAACCACAATACCCAAGATATTTTCTCTCTGTCTCATGAGAGACCTGTAAACTGCATCCTCAAGCCACCCTCTTTCACTGCCAGACAAGGGAATTTTGGGAGAGGGACTGTGAGAAGACAGACAAGGGAAGAGAGGAATTATCCTTTTTGTTCTTTGCGCTGAGCAAAAAATGGTAATATGTTGCATGCACTTCTAGTGATTGGCTGCAAATGGTGGAATCTGGCATAGAAAATGACTGCTTAAGATACATGCTGATGGCTGTCAATGCCTTCCTTGTAGATTATAGAAGAACCCCTTCCATTGCTTAGAAAGATTTTTAGTTTGCTAACCCAGTCTATTGCTTAGAATGATTTCTGTTCCCCAACAAAGCACTTCACCATGGTTAGCCCAGTCAAGTCACCTAAGCATACCTAGAAATAGTCACTAAGTGGAAAAGATAATTTTGTCAATTTGGATTAAAGGAACTGTTTTCATTTTGGTTTTAAAGGTCCTAAAGTTCAAGAGTTTGCGCCATGCTTTTCCAGTGTCTTGAAAGGATGCACTGTGAGTGAAGGGCAAGACTTTGTCCTGCAGTGCTGTGTAGGAGGCGTACCTGTGCCTCAGATCACATGGCTTCTCAATGGTAAGTAATCCCCTGGTCTGCAATACTTGCATGCAAGCACTTAACGTACACCCAGAGTCTGAAATGTCACTCTCATCGGCACATAGCAAGGCTGTGGATACTGCAAAAAGCACTCTAAATCACCGTAGTATAATGCACGAGAATATTGGAAGAAACTCAGTTTATATGCAAATAATATGAACGAAAAGTGGTTTTCTTGAGCAGTTTTCTGTCTTGCTGCAGTTTTCCAGGAGGTCCAGCAGGGGACTCTGGTGACAAGATTGTACGAGGCTGGGTCTCCTGGGTTTTGTGAAACGCAGCTCTCCCCGCCGCTGCAGCAAAGGCTGTGCTGCTACTGGATGCTGAATCCTGTGCTACCCCCACTCCTTTGGCACTAGCTTAGGCTTTAAGAGGAACGGGTTGGCATAATGATCCTGTAGGGATAAAAGGTTCTAAGCAAAATAGGTGCAGTATATCACTCTTTATGGCAGGAAGGAAATTCATACCGATTCCATTCTTCCATTAGCTGGGCAGGTCATTGGTATTAGCAGCTATGTCCCCAAGATCTTTAAATCACAGCTTTTCTGGTTGTTTATCTACTAGAAATATGTTTCTTAAGATTCTAAAACTTGCTCAAAGCTTACAAAAATAAAAGAAAAAAAGATAAGTAAAGTCTGTTTTACTTTATCAAGGTACGTAGTGTCCTACCCTGTCCTATTTTACACAACTGAACATGCAGGTTTCCTTAACAGTCCCTCCTCAGTATCAGAGCTGGGCCAATTATCAGCATTCTGCTAAGATTCCAAATTATTTCAGAGATCCATGGACTACACGCTTTGACTGAGGACTTTTTCTGTTTAAAGCCATATATCTTAAACACTAGACAGATTTATTCAGCTTAACCTGTGATCACCTCTGTTACTCCTGAAGTGCAATTGATTTTTTCATGGGCTCTCTCAGGCTATCTCTCTTTGTGTGTCTGTATGATTTGAAGACAAAGAATAGCGTGCTTTGCCATAAAGATGTTTCTTTCAGGATTGCTTTGAAATTAAGTGTTTGTGCATGATCTCAGATTTTCTTTAGCTACTCAGAGTAAATGGAGTAATTGAAAAAGGTGCCTGGGTAAACAAACTGTAACCTTGAGATTGGTATGTTCCCACAGCCTGCTCTGTTCCCCTTCCCAGTAGTCCCATGTCTAGAATAGAAAGACCACTGATTTATTTACAACATGAAACGTGTGAGTAAAGGCTCTGACACTGTCCCATTGGAAGTAATTTGTTTTTCCCTCTGAAGGCTACTCTGCAGTTTCTCCTTTGCAGACATGAGTAGAATCACTGTTTTGCTATGCAAGAATTGTGTCTTGCCACCCAGAAGGAGCAAGTCTGACCCATTGGGTCAGTCATTTAATCTGCATGTTCCAAGGGTATCCCCTGCTCACAGAGGATACCCTGGAAGAGGGTTCCCTTAGTTATTGAATGATGTAGTATACTCAGTTGTCTGTCTCAAATGACTCTATTACAGTTCATCAGGCATAGATACAGTGTCACCTTACAGATCAATAAGCAGCATGTAGTCCTTGAGTAAGCACTGTGCCCTCTGCCTTTTTCCAGCATGTTTGTTCTGCATTGACCTTTCTTCTCATTAGTCTCAAATAAGTCTGCCCCTATTCAGGTATAGCCATGTTTATATTGTATCTAAGCTTCTAATTGTAGTTGGATCAATATCACAAGGAGGTAAAAGTGGGTGATTTGTTTGTTGGGTTGGTTTTGGTTGGGTTTTTTTTGTTTTTTTTTTTTCAGATAAGCTGGATTTCCAACTATTAGGGTTCTGTATGTGAAAGGCAGTGCATTAACTCTGCTCTTAAATCAAAAGGCAGTGATGAGTTTAACAGAAGCATAAGAAACTGTAATAAAGATTAGGGACATCATATACTACTCTACAGAAATAAACACACTGCTTTTATTTCAAAATCCTAAAACATACCACTTTAATGCTTTTCTGTCTTGCATCTGATTGTGATACATAACTGTTTATATACTATTCTGATACAAACTTGAATGGATTATAAACAGTTTTTTAATGCTGATAATTCCAAGTACACTCCTAGGGTTATTATTTTACCTAAGGATCAAACTGCCTATTGTAATACTCTTTTGAATGCAAACATTTCCTTCCTGTCTACTAGCTAGGTAAATACTACAAACTTCTCATATTTATATCCATTACCAAATAGAAGAGAAAGTTGTGTTTCTGGTCCTGAAATATTACTCCAGCTAGGCATAACAATGCTTTTGGCAAAATTACATGATGGAGTGAGTTTTTCATCAACTGGCCATACGAAGAAAGCAGTATATTCACAGTATATAATTTGAGGCAGGCAGAGAAATTTTGTTTTAAAAAGGTGCGTCACAATCTGCAGTCCATTTTGGAACACAAAGCTTTTTACGTTCACAACTGATAAGCTATGGCATAGAAAAAAATTAATTTGCTGAGAGCAATCACACTACTGTTCAAAATATAGCAGTTTTGCAAAACTCCACAGAAATAAAAATTATATTGGACCAGATATGTAAAGTTCAAAAGAGAATGTCAAATGCAAATTGTCTTCCAAGCATGACAATGATAACAAGTTAGAATTGATTTTTTTTCAAGGAATAGTCAGAAAAGTATCTATTTCCCAGTGAAATAACAAATGTAAAGACCAAGTTATCAGATCACATGAGACATGAACAGAAGGCTGTTTTGAGAAACAGTGCTTGCTACCAAACAGTATGTTGTCCAGTCTGCCTTCCCACAGTCTCTGAGGATCCATACTGTCTGAAAACTAAAAGACTTGCAGTAACTTCTTGCACAATGTTACAAACAAGTACTACTTTAAGTGCCGAGCATTTTTACCAGCTGTGTAAATGTAAAACATCTTCCAAGCCATTATATAGATTGACCTCTCTTTCAGGTCAACCAAGACAGAAAATAGCATCCATGATGAGTAGTTTTATTCATATTCAAAGACACTGCACAAATAAGAGCACTTGAACTCTTGCTCTTCTTTGCAGCTCTACCATCTTCAGTTTCTTTCTTATACTTTTTTGTCTATTTTAATAATTTAAAGTTTTTTTCCAACTTTTCCAAGATGGTTTGTTTGTCCTGTTGCTCTCAATCAGCCTTTTATTTTAACTTCCTTTCTGAATTTTCACTGATTTACCAGCAAATTCCTTGAAAGTAAACTTCTTGTATTTTAGTTGTGACCTCGCCAAAGCCTTATCAACAAGTTATACATGCTCTCTGTGGCAATACTTCAACATTTAACTCTGACTTACTTTAGCTTCTTTAATTGCTTTTTTGGTAACTTCTTTTTAAATTGCAGGAAAAAGGCCTATATGACTGTATTTTAGATATCTTTCTTTTCATATTGCTTTCTTTGTGTGTGTTGTTTTTTTTTTCCTGAGTTGAATTGAACCTCTTTCTGCTGAGTTTAAAGAGAGTATGACCGTGACTTAACATAACAATTCTCTGAATTGTGTTTGGTTTTAGGAGAGCTTTCTGATCTGCCCAGAGAGCTTTTAATAAATGGGCCAGGGGAAAGTTTTCTTTCTTCTGGTATAACATAGCAGCAGAAAGGTATTTTTTGTTATTGTTCCTGCTGCCAAGCTGTCATGGCCATTTGACTGTTTTGCCTCTGGAGAAGGGAACATTTCACTACCGTGAGAGTTGTTTTTATTAGATCAAAATAAAAGTATAATGGTCATAACTTAGAATCTTGCTGCAGGTTATTCCTCAGGGCTGATGTATTTATATTTGTTTTCTGAGGTCTCATGAAAAGGCTATTCTTTGAATTCACTATTTTGTTAGTAGTGCTAAAAAAATAGTCACAGTTTTATTGGGAGCTGGAGGGAAAAATAGGATGCCCTGACAAAATTTGCAGACATAGTGAAGGAGATCACATTTTCTTTTTCCACACAGAACACTTAGCCTATTCATTTTCTTATTTAAAACAGAAATTAAAAGGCATCATTCTGGTTTTGATGTTATGGTGTTTATTCTGAGTATATTTCTGATATGGTTATCATCACAGCGTCATTAGACACCATCAGTAGATTCAATGTCAGAATCCCATACAGGATCCCTCTCATGTTCTATACAGTCAGACCAGGAAAGCAGTCCATTGCCCCATGTCCTCTTACAGAAAACTTTGCCTGCTTTAGCTCTACATGTATACATTTGAATGTAATGTAATTCCCACAACTTTAGACCTAATAGTTACAACAGTCTGTGTGTAACTGAGTGAAAGGGAGCTCAAAGGAACAAGTAATAAGAATATGTGACCTGTGAAGAAGGTGGAGAGAGTTTATCATGAAATTGGAGTCTTCCGAACACTCAATTAGTCAGTCCAGTTTTTCATGTGGTAGAAAATTTGCTATTTGAAAAAACAGATGAACTTTAAATAAAGGAAAAATAACATCTATTGTATTTTTTAATGTATTGGATAATGCTGATTTTGTCACATTTGTGTTTCAGAATGAAACTTTGTATGCAGATAGATAGTGCATAGATAGTGACTGCCTTCTGAGTTTCCCAGTGCTGAAAATCTGGGATATGAGAAAAATCGGTCCCATCATTTAATTTATCCTAGTCATAGTGCAAAGCTGGTTCTTAGAAACCATAGAGCTTTTGTCCTAATCCTTTAAAATGATTTTGTAAATGAAACAAAATTTTGATCTTTTCTTTGACCAAGATTTCACAACTGGCAGATATCTTTGATTCAGTCCTACACAATTTCTCTGCAGTTTCACCTTCTTCTTTTAGATGACCTTAATTTCTTTTTTCCAGCATGGTGTTTATACACAGATAGCAGGCCTTCTTAAGCATTGCATACACTGAGAGAGCAACCAGTGATGAGTCAGTAGTGGAAACTATTTAATATTGGGAAAACAGGTTGAAGAAGCATTTCAGAAAGTAAGGTTGAGATTGAAAACAGTTCCTGAAAGAACAGCAAGGCAACTTTAATCATCTACACTAGCCTTTAAGCCTGTTCCAAAGCAGTTCAAGGAACCAGTTTCTTAAAATGAACTTCTTTAATAGTCATGTCACCATTGATCAGATTGTATCTGTCTGTTACCAGTACTATAGTGTAGATTGACTGCTTGTGTAAATCAGCCTATCAGCCTTTTGACTCCATTGTGGATTTTACTGTCTCGGAATGTATTCCACTAAGAATTATTTAATGGACAAATTCAAGTGCTTCTCCATGCCCAACAGGTTTTGCACATCTAGACAATAATCCTAATATCTATTTCAGGCCAAGTACAAGATGGATACAATTTCTGAAACAAACACACTAGACATTTCTTATCCACCTGAAAGGGAATCTATTCAAAATACAAAGCTAAAATTTTCTCCTCTTGCTGCTACTCAAGCTAGCACCCAGTGAACCTAATGCCAAAATCTTTCTGACAATCGTATCCTGCTTTGTGCTTGGAATGCTGCAGTTTGTAGTCACTAGAGAGCAGCGACTGTGCACCAGAGAGTGGGATTTGGCTCTGCACTTCAATATACTAGCTGGGGTTAGACACCCAGATTTCACTGAAGCGCTTTTGAAATTTAAGTCTAATGTATTAAGACAATTCTCTTCCTTTCTGTCTTCAGACCAGCCAATTCAGTATGCCCATTCCACTTTTGAAGATGGACTTGCAAAATTGACTGTCCAAGATGCCCTACCAGAAGATGATGGCATTTATACCTGTCTGGCTGAAAACAGCACAGGACAGGCATCTTGCAGTGCTCAGGTCACAGTCAAAGGTAAATATCTCAGCCTGTTGTTATTTCTGCAAAGATAGCCACAATATTTCTTATATTTTTTTTTAGTCTTGGATCCTTAACAAAGGTGATTATAAGAGGATTCTAAGTTTTTTCTGTTGTCAGCTGGGTACCTTTTCTTCCCTTGGAGGTGTCTGCAACTTAAATGTTTTAGTACTGTGAAATGAGAAGTGATATGTATCTTTCAGGAAATGGTGTTAATGCTTGGACATTACCAAGAAGGGCTTAGTGTGGTACAACGCAATAAGGTTAAGTTTTGGAAGAGGCGTTCCATTGTAGGAAAAGATGTCGCTGCTCCAAGAAAAGCAAGTCCATGAAAGCCATAATTCTGCACTAGGATCTGTACAAACACGGTCTAGAAGACCAGAAATCGCAGTGCAGACAAGAGATGGCAGAATCCCACAGATAAATTGAAGAGTGAGGTAGTATCAATCGGTATTATGGTCTTCATTCTTAAAAATCTCACCTGGCATTAGCTTATACAGGCATTTCATTATAGCCTGGAGATGATCAGTTCCCTCCCTCTACAGTCCTTCTCCCTTAGACTCCCCCTCTCTCTGCAATGCAGCCTGTATTTGGTATTTGACATCTGCAAATGATTTTTTTCCTGGAGTTATAATAGTTTGGCACTGCCTGTCCAACAGACTGCTGAGTGACAGCTGCCAAGGGAACTATTACATTTTTCTATGACCAAATAATATCTGCCCCAAATTTACACATGCAGCTTCATGAGAAACACACCCTGATGCCTTGGATCCCAAGATTGTCTTCATTTGCCAATGTTCTGTGCTATTTGTCTACATCACTTGAGTGATATGCCTGCCCTTATTCTGTCTGTATGGATCCACTTGAAACCCTAGACAAGCTTAAAGTGAAAACAAACCAGTTCTGGTAGACCTATGAGTTAATTCTTGATTACCAAATTGGAAATGAAGTCATACCTTCATTGCTCTCCTCTTCCCCCTCTGAAAAAAAAAAAAAGGCATAAAGTAGGAAAACATTGATTTAAAATAAGCCTGAAACTAATCTGTTCTCAAAGCTGTCATTTATAATTTCGCTGAAGCATTTCATCTGAATTAGCTAAGGGCCAATTGAGAGCATTCCACCTCAAGGGAGCTGTCTTTGACATGGGACCTGCTGATTCTTCACTGGGACACAGAAACCAAAAAGACAGCCCCTGTCTTGCTAACAATTTCTGAGTTATTTTAGGCTTGACACACAATGTTAACGTGGGAGCAATGGTGACCTCGTCTTTCCCGGGGCTTGTGTACTCTGCTGAGCTATTTAAGCCTATGTAGTGGCTGTTGTGAGTTGGATTCCTCCTGTACTTTAGCTAGTCTGGGGCTAGGAAGCTGCATTGCCACTATTATGCAGAGTTAGTGCCTTTATTTTGCATCTCATTCTATTTTCTGGGAGTTACGGAGTGTGCAGGGAAGAACAAAAACAGAATTAAAAGCATGCGTGACCGGCTGTAAAAGCATGTGTTCATTTTTACAGCTTTAGCTGTCCCCTCCACTTCCTCCCTAAAACTCATTATATCCCTGCTGCCATGAGGATTGCAGTAACTTGCTCCAATACTCAGATCAATATGGATTTGCCTTCATGATTTCCAAATTTCTTCTCTATTCATACATCTTTTCCATCAGACCAATAATGCAATAATATTGCATTAAAGTTTTCTGAGTCTCTGAATGATGCTGCTAAGGCTTCTCTAAATGCTCAGCTTCTGAACACAGATTACAGCAGGAAATCAGTATATGTGCAGAAATAAGAGAAAGCTTCAAAAATCCTCTCTTAACCAGACATTGATGTTTGGAATAAAGTTTGTAAAATCTGATTCTGAATTGTAACCCATCTCTCTGCAGTTCCTTTTTGTCTCCAAAATTATTTAAGGTTTTCAGGTTCCATGCAGTGCTCAGTTTGTTCATTCATTGCTAGAGAAATATTTTCCTTTTTTATGTGAAAAGTCATTTGTATTTAAGAAGGAATGGATGTTCTTGGCACATCATCAGTATCAGACTAGTGCCAGCTTTTCCTTAACTTGTTACTGTGGTCCTTGGACACATCTCTTAGTCTGTCTGGGTCAACATTTCACTTCATATTGTCATTTTTGGCTTTGCTGTCCTAACACAGAAAGTGTCTCATGGAGGAGCATCTCTGCTGTGATTGTTGGGGAAACTTTACGTGAAGTAAATTGTCTGTCTTAACAGCAAAACTCAGTTTTATTTTTAAAGGCAAAAAGCTCCACCTTCTGAATTAAATCAAGCTCACAGATAACTCAGAAAAGTCCAATACATCCTGGCAGCAAGACAGTGAGAAACTGTTCAAAGAAAAAAAACATGGCCATAACATAAGCCAGATGTTATGAATTGTAGTACAAGATGATACTTAAACCTGCTAGTAGATTACAGGTGCTATCTGCCCACATGTTATGTTTTCTGATCATCTTTTGTACATTCTTTGCCCTTTAGAAGATCTATTCCTTTGTTTTTGTCAAGGGGAATTTCCTTTTGTGGGATTATTGTAGGAAACAACATTTTAAAGGCTCTTTGCCCCATAAAGAACTACTGTTCCAGGTCCTGCTAAACACAAGGAGGGGGATTTTTTCAAGTACTTTCAGTACTCTTTGCATTGGGCCCTGCATACTAGCTAGGCTTACTGGGGCATAGCATTCCTTCTAACCCATCAGTCTCAGATTAATTTGTGGTTGTCTCTTGCTTCCTTGTTATTAATTCTGCCTAGCACTGAGTAACCTCAGTCTTTCCTTTGGTTTGCATGAAAAACACTGAAGGTACTTAGCTGTTTGTAGGAGGTTTTTGGCACTGTGTCAGAAAAAGTCCTACACTTCATATGGGATGGGGCATAAGAAATGCAACGGTATTAAAAAAAAAAATCAAAATAAACAGTGTTCTGTTTTTTTGAGACAAGAAAATAATATCTTCAGGTCACTTAAATGATCTGATAGCTGCGTAAATTGGGATGGATCCATTAGGTAGTCCATGGAGAATCTTAAGTTAATCAAGGTGAAGCTAAATTTGGCTTGTAAAAGACTAAGTAGACTAAATTGAATCCTCACAGCTACTTTCCTGTGACAGCAGTTTCTTACAGATGATATACAGGTAGAGATGAACTACAGAGAATGAGCAGTACTTCTTTGAAAATCCAGCTTAACAAATGCCTTCACTGCTTTTTTGAATAGAGGCCTAATACTGCCTCTCTTGGTGAGCAAATACTATTCAACAAATACTGCTACTCTGGTTCATTGTCTTTTGACCTCGTTTCTCCCTCCCTGGCAGCAGTGCACTTTCCTGACTTCACATCTGTTCCCCTTTTTCCCATCCCCTGCTTTCTGTTCACACTTCTTTTTTGTTTGTTTGTTTTAGTGCAGCCTCCCCAGCATAAGTGTCTATGTTGGGAAGCCTGTATTCCTTCCAATCCGATTACTGTAGGCACTCATTGATCATTGGACGAGCAGATTAGAGTCACCTGAAAGCCTGTCAGAGTCCCTGCTGTAACCAGTTTATCAGAGCAGTGAAGGAAGATGCTTTCTGGAAAACCAGTTAATTTTGCTCCTGTCACTCTTCCTTCTGGTGTGTGTGGGACCATAAAATATAACCAGGTGGAAGAAAGGCTTTCAGGTAGGAGTCTTTTGTTCTAGTCATAAGAGATGCTGTCTTTAGGTTATGTGTTGTTTTTCTTTCTATCTCAGAATGACCTCCCTTAGACATTAATCTTTCAAAGAAGGTTATCTCTCCAATAAGCAACCTCTCTTTCAAGACTTAATTAAGAGGCTACAGCTTTGTTTCTCTGATATATATATTTCTGCCTAAGGTAAATGAAGTATGACATCTTACTTGCCTACAGCCATTAAATACTTGCAACAGCTTTTAAAAGTCACTATTCATTTGAAAGCATTTTGCTGTATTTCAAGCATTACATAAATGGAAAGGACTATAGAAGACTTTCCAAAATATACAAGTCTATCCTTTTCAAATGTCCAAATGGCATTTTGAACCAGTAACCTGGTGGAACCTCTTGGCTATGTAAGAATTAGCCTCAGAGGATTAAGTGAAAGGGAGGGTTTTTTTATTATGGTATTAAAAGGTCAGAGGTAAGCTGTCATGAGCATCAAAGAAACTCTGTTCCAGTGCTTTCCATAATGTTCCCAAGTTCTTAGTTCAGAGCACTCCCTATGGGTCACTAACAGCTTGTAAGATTAAAGTTCTTTTTTTTTTTTTATTTGTCTTCTTTCAGCACCTCAGCACCAAACATGAGCCACAATGCCACTACAGACCCAAAATGACGAGCAAAAGCAAAACATGCATGGGACCTTTTAATGATATAGGATTTGTGCCATCAATATAAATTATGTTCTCTAAAGACATCTTCTTGATATAAATCATTTCCAGTAAAAGGGGAACAAATTTTGGGTGCAAATGAGAGATGAGTGCTTGCAGAATGACGCAGAAGTTAAATGAGATGCTGACAGAAAAAAAAAATGTTTATTTTAAAAAGAAAAGAAAGAAAAAAACCCCTCCACCTTACATCTTATGGTCTTCTCAACTGTGAAGCAATCAAGGGCCATGAACAGATGTACCAGAATGACAGAAACCAGATGGTTATTGTAATAGCCTTCAGAATGGCCCTGCATTGGCCAAGGGGCAAACTATCCGAGCTTGGATTGCCGAATTCTATAATGCTCTTAAGTTTCAGATGTAAAGTGGAAGTCATCAAAATATATATAAAAACTGGTAACTTAATATATGCCTGAGTAATTCTGAAAGCATGGGCATGATGTTACCCCACAGAATATTTCCAAGAGCAGCTGATGTGGATTAGCTAATGGGAACTCAAACCGTCAGCCATCAAGCTATCTCATAGGATTAGCTAAATTTATAAAACTCTCCAGAAATGACTGTCGTGCACGTGGGTTTGAGGTAGGCAAGCTGGAGGATGGGAGGAAGCCCTAGTTAGAATTGATC